GAGAGAGAGAGAGAGAGAGAGAGAGAGAGAGAGAGAGACAATCAGAAACAAACTTGAAAAAGCAAAAGCTAGGAGAGCAGGCGGGCACAGAGAGCTACTTTAAGCATGAGGTGCTTAGTTTCTTATCAGAAATTGAAGAGACATCTCTGGTCCACACCAAAATAAGAGACGTGCTCAAAATGTATCAGAAGCAAATGTAATTGCTTGGTTCTGAGGAAAGCAGTAAGTGCCCAAAACAGCAACTTTTCTGCTTGTTCTTACCTTTTGTTTAACAAAAAGTAATTAAGTTTGCATCAGATTAGGCATTGGATTTGTCCTTTTGCAGCACAGCGGAGATAATTCCTTTCCTCTCCATTACCATTTAGTTCTTATTGTATTATCCAGAGTATTCTGCCAAATGAGTGTGTGTGTGTGCGTGCAGTTAATAATTTGATGATGGTTAAAGGTGCTATATTGGCAGATCTGGAGAGTAATGTCTTCTTCATCGATACCATGGGCAGCAACACTACAAGTTTCATTCCTCACCTTGACCCTCAGTATGTCTGGCACTTGACTGAAGGGACTATACCTATGGGAGTTAAGTAAGGAAAAGATATTTTTGAATATCACCCAAGAGAAAGTATGCCAAATACTATGGAGATGGGTGGCAAAAGCAAGAAACTAGATAGATGGATAGATAGATAGACCAAGTGAGGTTACTGCTAGCTGTGATAATGGATCTGTAACATAGATACTTGTTCAGTAGGAAATGGAGCAAGAACACCAAACTCATTTCACACTGGCCATTAAGCAGCAAGTGGGTGGGATTAACTTTAAGATGCTCCTGAATTGGGCTAGATTAGAAATAGCAATTTAGAGGCAAAAGGTTCTGTGTCCCTTTGCCCTTGAGTAATTCAGTCCCCCATCCATTTTAGGAAAATGATAGCTCAGTAGTATTGATGGTTTGCTTGGCTAAACCCGAGGCAGCAGGCTGAAAGCCATGCTTGATAGAGTGCTGTTTAGAGAGTTAACATTTACTTCAATCAGATAGAAAACTTGATTTGGGGATGGTTGTTTATACACATCTTGTTTTATATTTTCTTCCATCGGGGGTCACCTTCGTGCATTCCCACAAGGTTTCATTAGCAGCTGAACAACTCTGAAAGTCATTTGCTATGATGGGAAATCTTACATTGTTTGTGAGACCCAGGCATCCATCTCTGTTCATTATACTACTTTTTTAGCAGAGCCCTTCTTACTTATTTGTGTTTTCAGCATTTTCCCCAGACAGACCAATGGCCTTCTTCCACCTTCTTTTCTCATGCAGACTCTTTTAGTTCTGATTATCTAGCTGTCACACAAGGTATACTGTATTGTGCTTAAAAAGGAAACCCACCATCTGCAAATCATCAGAAGAGTAGAGGTTGAAATTCTGTCTCCTGAGTCAACATGACTGTAGGAAGTTGTGAAGAGCAGAGGAAGGAGTCCCACCTTTTCCAATACATGCCTGCCCCCTACTGGCTGATATCTGGAAGGTAATGGAGGCAACATCCATTTTTTTGCACAGTACATTCACATGAAAACTCAATATTATTTATTTTTTAAAGAAAAACTGGAGCTTATTCCTAGCAACTAGCTAGCTGGATTAACATCACATGTGATACAGCATTAGAGCAGGAGAGGACTGAATGAACCAAAAAGTGAACAAAATATGGCACACTTGGTACATCTGCAAGACGTTTTCATATTCCTGTGAGACACATACACAGGTGACACACCCATGAGCGAATGCAGCTAAAAATAAAGGGAAGGATAGTGGCTATAAGCCAATGCCTGCACTGTGGGATAAGGAGGGGTTGGCTCAGCTGCAGCTGGTCCTAGACAGAGACAGTGTGCCTGAGGCAGACACAGTACCTTTGTGAGTCACAAGTCTGTTGGCCCCGGACATACCCAGTGTACACTCCTCCCCATGTCAGACCTGCTTTGCCGAAGGAGGAAAGGGTCCATGGACTAATAGTTCCACCCAAACATCTCCTCTGTCTTCTACCTCCTCTCACTTCCGGCACCTCTTACTTATGATGTCCTAGGTACATCTACATTGAACATTTAACCAAGATCTGAGCACTTAGGTTAGCCTAGCCCAAATATGAGTGTTCCCAAAGTCCTACTTGTGTCACTGTGCCTTCATTAGGTTAGCCTAGCCCAAATATGAGTGTTCCCAAAGTCCTACTTGTGTCACTGTGCCTTCATTGTTTCTGCATTCACCTATGTGTGTGTGTGTGTGGGGGGGCTTATCCTATGGTTCTTTGTTCTGAGATGCTCTAGGATTCTTTCCCAGTTAATTGTACCAAGTGTGGAATAACCTGTCTGTCCCTTTGGGGGAATTGTGGGAAGGGCATTGGATGATTATCAACATTCATGTGATCTTGCCTGCATCCTCACTACAAAGTGGGCAGATTCCAACCTGAGCTAATGCTCAGGCTTTAACCCAGGGGTCGGCAACCTTTCAGAAGTGGTGTGCCGAGTCTTCATTTATTCACTCTAATTTAAGGTTTCGCGTGCCAGTAATACATTTTAACCTTTTTAGAAGGTCTCTTTCTATAGGTCTACAATATATAACTAAACTATTGTTGTCTGTAAAGTAAATAAGGTTTTTAAAATGTTTAATCAGCTTCATTTAAAATGAAATTAAAATGCAGAGCCCCCCAAACCGGTGGCCAGGACCTGGGCAGTGTGAGTGCCACTGAAAATCAGCTAGCGTGCCACCTTCGGCACCTGTGCCATAGGTTGCCTACCTCTGCTTTAACCAATACTGTGCAGGCATGGGTTCAAGAGCAAATAATGATATGCTTAAGGGTGTGTGGATGTTACAGGGTATTAGGGAAAAACTTTTAGAAGCATGGGCTGAGACTACATTTTAGACATAATCTTAGTTTTGGAACAGCTTCCAAGCATCCTGCCTCTTCTCTTTCCAGTGTCTTCTGAAGTGGTCTATGAAGACTTCCAGCACTGTACTGTTGTTTTCAGATTGTAAACTCTTCCAGATAGGGAATCTGTGATTGTTCTTGTGCCCTTTACCTGCTGTGCAGCATTCTGTAAACCCACTGTGCCACGTAAATAGCAATGACTATTCTTATTGGAACTATTGAATTTCTGCCAGCTATATGGAGCAGGAAAACTCATGAAGGACTGGGCTTTCTTGTGAGATGATATTTACTTTCTGCTGTCACTCAAGCCCCAAATGCCATGGGAACAATTCTGCCTCTCACTGCTTCAGCACTTTCACTTCTAGCTGGAACCCAGAAGTGCAGTGAAAAGTGGTGGAGGGAGATAAGAGTTCTGAATGTTTCTGACCACCATGACCACCACAACCAAAATTGATCTGATCTGGAGATTTATGACTCCTTATCCCATTACCAGTCCCTTGAGTCCACGCAGCTTCCAGAGCAATGGGACATTAGAGAAGTTTCATGCTAATGGAGAGTACTTATAAAATGGATTATTCTCTTCAATACTGTGATGTATCCTAGCATTTTCTGTCCATTTCCTGTTAGTTAAACTGGCACAGAGTGCCGAGATTACACCTATTTGAGACTTGGATTGGGGATTCAGGAAGTGAAAACATCCATACACTGTCCTACTGCTGATCTGGAAACATCACTTCAGTCTCCATGGCTCATTTACAGCTAGCTCATTCCTTAACAACCCTTAGATGGAGATAATTTTCAGCCACTATTAGTTTGCCCTAGATTGCATGTCAAAAAAGCCTAGAACTAAAAGGCTGTGTTATCCCTTTATTAATCCTGTAAGACATCCACTCCCACAAGAGTGTCAGTAGATTTGTTGCCTTTCAGTATGTGGACACTCAGATAATTAGTATAGTTGGAAGAATAACATGGTGTATAGATATGTAGATGCATTGCTTGAGAGACACATTTCAATTTTATTTAAATTTCATGTGGAGATAGACAGCAGTGTCCCTGGTAGTCATCTTCCTTTGAAAATTGCTCTGCACTATGAGGCTTCTGCATTAAAAAAACAAACAGTATCACCTTGCATAACAGCACTATCCCCTTGTTTAGTAAATTACCATGTGTCCTTTACTAGGGTGACCAGACGTCCCGATAAAATCGGGACTGTCCCAATATGGAGAAGTTTGTCCCGCGTCCCGACCGAAGCATGGTCGGGACGCCATTTGTCCCGATATTTTGTTTCGGGCGGATTTTTTTTCTTTCTTTCTTTTTGCGGCGGTGACAGGCAGGGGGAGCGCCTTTTGAATTGTTACACTCACCCGGCACGTCCGGGTTTTCGGGTCCTTCAGTTGCTGATGGTCTTCGGCGGCATTTCGGCGGCAGGTACTTCTTTCTTTGGTGGCAAGGTTTATTACCCGCCGCCGAACTGCCGCAGAAACCCCATACGGTTTGAGTGTAACACCTAAAAAGGTGCTCCCCCTGCATCGGTCCTGATATTTTCGAGTTCTCATTTGGTCACCCTAGTCCTTTACACACATGATGCACTAAAAACCAAGGATTGTGTGCATTAAATTTGAATACTGGACCGAAAGAAGATAATATCTCTACGCTGACAGGATCCTATTAACCACTCTTACACATAACTATTCTTCAGTGCATAATTGTGTTCTTTAAAGTAGGGGTAATGGCAAGACAGCTAACTAGGAAAGGGATACAGGTTCCAAAAAGTCACATCTGATTGATGTACTTGACAAGTTGGTGACAAAATTAATTTTTGCTCAGAACAATTTGGGATAATTGATTTGGTTTATGACTTTGATCAGAATGTAGACACATACAACATAGCTTCATAATGTCATGCTAATTGTTCAAATTACGAAGAGAAAGTGAGAATGGAAAAAAATGGTTATGAAAATGGTTAATTAGAGAATTCAAATGGAGTAGATGAAATACCCTGTCACATTCTGTGGTGCAATCCAGACCAGTGAGAGGTTGTCTCACCATCTGCCCTGTAACCATGGGTGCCTCGCAATACTTTACTGTTGTAGATCTCAACATGGGCTGCTCCCAAACAGCCTACCAACATGCAGGTCTCACCCAGTATTTCAGAGAAATATTATGGTTCATTTGCTCCTTTAAGGAGACAAAACACACCAGTTTGCCACATTAAGTGGAGCCAACATTCACTTTAGTACAAACACAGTGCTGTTGGTTTAGATTAATAGTAAAACAAAATATAAAAGTCTGAAACTTAATCTAGCAAGTTTTAGTTCAAGGCTTCGTTCAAGATGACCTTTCTCACTCAAAGTCTTCCAGCAAGATGAAGAGTGACTCTCTCCTTGGTCAGGATGTTTGCCAGAGGCCAAAAATTATTGCTGCCTTTGTCTTCTTTGGTGAAGAGATATTTGGAGGTTTTCTGCCCCTTTCTTTTATACTCCAATGAACCTTTGAAATGGATTCTGCTGAAGGTCATCCCTCAAAGTAAAGTTTATTCTAGCAGTGAGGAAGGCAACATGGAGTCTGGTGGTAAAGTAGGCTCCATGTTCTTCTTTTCCCTCCAACTTGTGTTTGCTGTAATGGAAATTGGTCTGTTTCCTGTCATTTCCTCCTACTGCTCTTGATGGTCTTGTTTATTACTTATGTGCAAACTGAGGTAAATACACATTCCTTCATTTAGGATAGTTCACTTAATAACTTTTGCCTAGGCAGGGCTGTCTGGTTTTGAAAAAATAACATCATCCAGAGGGAATTCATAACTTTACATATAATGTGGTTACATATATTTTGCCATGATATTATTGACCAGTGAGTTATTAGTTTTCAAATGATAACGTACAAGGCATGTTCTGTACAAAGATTATTACAATTCTCTAGGGTGTGAATATAGGGGTGCTTCTGGTCACAACCACTTCTTCTGCAAAGCCCAGAAATGCTATCTAAGTCATATCAATAAAAATGCTGCCACTGAAAAATTATGGACCTGATTTTGTAATCTTAATCAAGTCTCCAGTTTTCTACCCACAATTCATTGTAGGTGCAGGTGACAGAATTGGGATGTCTGACTTCCTGATCAGTGGACACCTCTCTTTCTGTGCAGCACCAAGGCTATTGTGACAAGATGTTATGCTGGAAACGACAGTCTTCAGAGCTGTGTGCCTGGAGGCAGATTATAATCAGCAGAGGGTCCTTAACTCTAGAATTTGCTTCTCCTGCAAGCAAAAGAAAACCAAGGTAATTTGATTTACAGAACCAGACTGTGGCTAACTCTTGCATGGATGTGCAAAGCGGGGGACACAAAGAGCTCTGCTGTGCAAAAGTGCGGCTTCCCGCTATTCCCTCCTGTGGTAAAAGCCACCAAAATAGAGGCAGGGAGTGGGCGGACTTATGGCTATGAATCCTCTCCACACAAGGCAAGAGAAGGAAGTGCAAAACTGTGCCTTCTTAAGGAATGACACAAAGCAAGCCGAATATGGAGCCATAATTAACTTTGACCCCAGAGGTTTGGTGGTAGGGGACAATGGGCATAGGGATTTGTTTCTGGGAGGAAGAAAGTAGAGTCTATTTTTAGTTAAACACTGGAAAACTAATTTTGTTGTATTTAAAACAAAAATGTGTTTCTGTGGCTGACAGGGAATTGTACTGGGCACTTTCTTTGAAAATTAATGAAAACCCCCCAGTACTTGAGCAGTGTAGTGTAGCAGCAGTTCTGAATCTCTGACATATACTTCTGGACCTGAGCTCAGGAGTGTGAATGTAGGAGCTAGTGGAACTGTTGTGTTACATGTGCTGATTATTAATTCAAATGGAAGGGTTTGTGGACAAGTGAGATTCTGGTGTATTTGGGTAAGTATTGTTAGCAAATACTGAACTTGGTGCAGTGATATCACACAATGCATGGATAAGAGCATACACCTATAATTTTAGCTCATTACACTCATTATTTGACTTTGTAACTTATTGGCTATGAGCAGCTCACAAGCAGGAGCCTAATGCTTTTCCAGTGGGTTTCAGGAGTGTCTGATTTATGCCAGATTATGAAAGGCTCAGTATAACAAATGGGGGGAGGGATAGCTCAGTGGTTTGCTAAACTCAGGGTTGTGAGTTCAATCCTTGAGGGAGCCACTTAGGGATCTGGGGCAAAAATCTGTCTGGGGATTGGTCCTGCTTTGAGCAGGGGGTTGGGCTAGATGAACTCCTGAGGTCCCTTCCAACCCTGATATTCTATGATGCTGCCTGGAATGGTTCATGACTGTGACAGCCAATCTCAGGGCAGATACCCCAAACTCGTGGTATGTTCTATAATTAGATTTCACCAACCCAATAACAAGCGTGAACTCTTGAAGCACTAGAACAGTTTTACAGAGTCACCGACAGTCCCCTAGGGCACTCCAGTCTATCTTGCTACCCAGGCAAGATGGATTTAGTGATAGTTGGCCGCTAGACACCAAAGATCACAAAAGATTCAGGTTGCTTCCAGTCCCAAGAGACCAGATCAATTTGTTACCCCAGATCAATTTGTACCTTAAATCTCATGCCAAAGACTGCACTTGTAGCCAATCCTAGAGTAAATCAACTAAGGATTCATTAATTAAGAAAAGAAACGATAGAGTTATTTACAGGTTAAAACAGGCAAACATATATACACAAATGAGTTACAGTCTGGGGTTCCAAAAGGGGATAGAGTTGCAGCAATCTGTCAGCACTGAATGTCTCAGTAAAAGAGATGAAACATTTTCTTGTTCACTATCTTTATTTCCTTCTTCCAGAAGTCAAGCTGATTGGTTGAGACTTTTTGCACATAGTCTCTTCATGAGTATGAAGGGACAATTAACAAATTCTTTGTATTGTGATGTCCCACTATGGCCCATTTAGTTTTGATATCCTTCTTAATGAGCAGGAGACGATCCCTTCTGACAGACTGACAGTTTCAGGGCAAACATATTTTACCATCATATAGCAAAAACTTAAATATTACCTTATAGCATGTGATAAAGATATAAGTGAGATTAATGCATGCAGAACTTAGAAGCGTTTCAAATTCTAAAAGCTAAACACATTGTTATAAGTCTAATACTCATCTTACCCATACCAACACACAGATGAGCTAGACTGGTTTTCTGCAATGAATTTGCCAGTGCTTGGCTGAGGCCTAAAGACTTGGTAAGAACTGGCACCTGGTTTGTCAGCATCACAGACACATTCATTGACAAGGGACATTTAAAAGAATACTGCCTTGCCTAGCTGTGAGATCTCCTACCTAAGGAAATGCTCACTCCTCCCATCATACTTGGCATTTACGTTGCCTTGCAATTTTAGCTCATTTCTGGAAAGACTTGGTTGTTCAGTAAATGCCTTGATTGTGGGTGCCAGCTTCAAAACAGAAGATTACACAGTCATCATCACAGACAGCCTGATAGGGAAAGTGAGAGTTAGAGAAAGCACTGAAAAACTTACATGATGTATTAAAGACACTATAAATGCTAGGGAATCTGACACAGTCTTTTACATTTGAAGTGCGGGATTTATTTTACAAGAAAAAAACTACTAAGGTTTGAGGAGTCCTTTCCTTTCTTTATTTAACAATAATTTATGTAGAAAGAATCAGATTAAGTATTTTTTATGGAAGCTGGAAAGCTCGGTCTGTGCAAGATTTATTATTTATTTTGTAAAAACATTTTGTATTTTGGACAGCAATAGGTCCTATGAATGTGCTAGAATGAGAAAGCATCTTGTTTTGTTTCATTTAACTGAAAATCAATAAATAGCTATTTTTTGATATACCATCTTTTACCAGCCACCTGCCAAGCATTCATTAAATATCAGCTTTATTTACTTATTTTCTTCGTCAGGTTAAAGAATTAGTTCCTCTGTAGAAACCTTGAATCAGGGATTATAAATTAGTGTGGCATAAGGCGATTATTCCTGTGCTTTTTGGAAAAAAAAAACAGTGTAGTGTAACTCTGAATACTGGTTTGAAAGACGTTGGAAAGAAGAGGCGAAATGGTGTATCTTATTATATAACACATACACATTCCTTACTGAGGCATAGCTTCCAATCACATGCCTAAGTAAAGACTGCAAGATTTGGCCCATAGACCAATTAGCAAGAAATCAGATTTCCTGCTCTACTTTGCAAATTTCACTAAACTTCAATATGCAGCATATCTTTTCCCATGATTACAGTTAAGTCCCATAGTTTCTTTCAGGGTAAAAAATGCAAAGTACCTAAATAATGTAGGAGCCTAAGTCCCATTTTCAAAAGTGAGTTAGATACTAAAGAGCCTAAATCTCATGGAAAATCAATGAGACTTAGCCACTTCCAAAATTTTTATTCTTAATAAACAGCGTAAGAAAATGAGAAACGACCCCCATCCAAGTACCCTGCTATACAGAAAGTACACAATGCCGTCATACCTACTACCTACAGGGAGGTGAAAGAAACTGGGCATGCTGAGCACTGAAATAATCTTACTGAATATGAGAGGATTAAACAATGAGCATTGGTGCACAACCCCCTTTAACGCCCTGATCCAGCAAAGCACTTAAGCACTTGCTTAATTTTATGCATGAATAATCCCATTGAAGTCAGTGGCACTAATCATGTCTTTAAAGATAACTAGGTGCCCAAGCACTTTGCTGGCTTAGAGTGTAATTCCTTGATTTGAAGGGTTGTGGCAAACAGTTATCTCTGATGGAGGAAAGGAAAGATTCTTGGAGAATTTGGTTATGTTTATCACCGAATGACATTCCATGGGAAGTCTTTTATCACAACCACTCCACCTTGCAAACACCGGGCTCCATGCAGTGTGATTCTAAACACCTATACACACTAAGTAAATACATGATTTCACTAGCTTTTATTGCTCTCTCTAAAAGGCGGAGAAAATGACCATATTCCACAGTCTCTGCTAATCTTTCTCCTTAATTAAGCCATTAGAAAAAGTTAATGTTCACTGCGAGCTTTTGTTAAAGAGGGTTGTTAAAATAGAACCTGTGGGATGCTTCCTCTGAGATTTACAATATACTATAGCTTTATTTTTCTGAGGGGGTGATATTAAAGTCTCTGCATGTTTGCTCAGAGGGACAAATGTGTCGAAGTACACGCACAATCTTGTATGTAAAGACCTGATCCTGTTCCTATTGAAAACAATGGTAAACCTTTCATTGACTTTAATGGGAGCAGAATCAGTTAAAGAATTGCCATGTGGCTTTAGGAAGCTTGTTTCTAATTATGTACCCTTGGATGACATTAAATGATGCCTCAGAAAGTTATGCTTGGGTTTAGTTGAAACGTAACCTTAAATAAATGTTTAAGGTTATATTTGTAATAAAAGAGTTTTGTTGAGCCACAATGGATAGGATTTGGTTACATGATGTCTATCTGTTTAAAAGTCTGTATACTGTATTTTAATTATAAGTGAATTACAGAGCATTTTCTGTGAAATCTGAGAGAAGAAGAAACAGCAGGAACACAGCAAGAAAACTAGAAAAAGAAGTGAAGTGGACTGTTTAATAGCTAATTAGAGCAATATGAGCACTTCTAGTCTGCATAACTAGAGGCACCATGTCATGGAGCAGGGATGTAAGAATTCTCTCTACAGCTGATGTGCAACTATACCTGGAATGCTGCATTCCTTTCTGGGCATCTTGGAGTCAGACAGCTATGGACAAATGAGAGGGTATTCAGACAGGAGAATAAAAAATGTTAGGGGGATATGGGTATCAACTTATTTAGGAAAGATTGAAAGAGTTTAAAAGAGATAATTACGTGTTGCTTGGCTAAGGTGGAGACATAACAACAGTCTAGAAATTAGGAATGTCTGAACTCATTTGCCTCATTTTGAATCCATGTGAATATTGTGGATATTTGAATATTGTGTTTTAAACTCAACTGCATCTCTCTCCCCCCACACATTTGGATCAACATAGTTTTTAAGAAGTTCTTTTATCCTTAGCACATGGTTCCCTTTAATTAGAAAGCCATGATTTTTCTTTTTTTCCCCAATAGAATCACACTTGAACAAAACTCAAAAGACAACATGGATTTAAATTGCATGACAGACTCTACATTGTTTTGTGAACCCAAGAAAGGAATGTGCAAACAATCTTGCCTGATCCATATTTGACAGCAGCCCCTTTATTTCAATGGGAATGGAGACAGAAGACAGTGGAGCTTGCCAGCTTACACCAGCTGAATATCTGGCTCTGCATTCTCCTCTCAGCTCTTCAGGAGGTTCTTACAAGTGAAGATTGAGGCACATTTGTGAGGCAGGATGGGTGAAGCTTGCAGTGCTAGTCTCTGGGGTTGTCAATCTAACACCTTTCACCAGCTCTAAATGAACTTTAAAAAGAAAAAAACAACAACCACCACCCAGTGGTGTCCCTTTAAATATAAAGAGTTACAACATTCTGTTCTCAAGTATTAGATTCTAACAATGCAACAGATTACAATAATAAAATGACAAAGAAAAGCACACTTTCCACTTTGCAGTCACAAAAGCATTCATCAAATACAATATTCTCAGCAGAACAGAGGCAGGGGCTCTTTTTTAAGATAAAGATTAGTTAAAAACAGTTAAAATTCTTTACAAATATATATATATATATCTCCACAGGGTGGGCTCTCTGTATAAAGATTCAAAACATTAGAACAATAGAATAAGATTCATTATTATGGTTTTCATCAAAGATGAATTCTTACACAGCTTTTAAATGAATTCAACCTTGGGAAGTAGTCCTCCTGCTGGTTAGTTAACTCAGATGATATTTGCAGCTCAGTCCTGAGTCTGAATGATTAAGGTGATGTCAAGATGCCTTGGGACAAATCAAGCTCTGATTTATACCCTAAGGCTATGGCTACACTACCAATTAAGTTGAATTAGCCACCCCCTGAGTGACATAACTTTTACCGACTTAAGTGCCAGTGTGGACAGTGGTAAGTTGGCGGGAGAGCTTCGCCTGCTGACAGCTAGGACCACTCGTGGGGAATGGAGCAATTAAGCTGATGTGAGAGCTCTCTCCTGTTGGTTTAGAGCAGCGACTCAGCTGCGCCACTGTAAGCTCTCTAGTGTAGCCATAGCCTCAGTAATTCCATTGACATAATTGCCTGAGGTTTAAATCAGGTAGAATTAGTCCCCTTAAATTTGTAGTGCCTTTGAAAGTTAGTTTAAGGCATCTTGACACTAGTGGTGGATTAGCCACTGGGTCCATGGGACCCAGGCCCGGGGTTCCCGCCAACTGGGGAGTCCCCCACTTCTGCCACATGGCGGGTGGGGTGGAGGAAGACCCCATGTCCCCTGACCGCATCCCCAGCAGAAGCTGCAGGACGGGGGAAGCTCCCCAATGGCCCCTGACCCCAGAAGAAGCCACGGGACAGGGGAAGTCCCCACAGCGGTCCCCCAACCCTGGCAGAAGCCCCCGGGTGGGGGAAACCCCCCCAGTTGCTCCCAACCCCATCCCAAGTAGAGGAAGCTCCCAGTGCCCCTTCCTCATCCCCAGCAGAAGCCACAGGGTGGCAGGGGAAGCCCCCATACCCGACCCCACTCTCTGGCAGAAAAGCACCAGGTGGGCGGAGTGGGAGAAGCCCCAGCGCCCTATCCCTGGTCCCTTGCAGAAGCGCGGAGTAGCGGGGGAAGGCCCTGGGACAGGCGGCGCGGCGGGAGGGGCCGTGTGGTGAGCGCCCGCTGAAGGAAGCCCCGGCTGCCCCCCTTCTCTCTCTCCCCCCCCCTCCCTCCCCGTTCCCCTGCTAGCCGGGGCGCGCACTCTGCTGCCCGGACCATGTCTGCAGCGCAGGGAGTCCCCCTGCACCCTGACTCCAGCCGCCCCCCACGGTTTTTTGGTTTTTTTTTTGCTTCGCCGCTCCAGCCTCCCTGAAGGTTTTTTTTGCTTGGGGTGGCAAAAAAGCCAGAGCCGGCCCTGTATCTAACAATCTCAAATATTAAATAACTCTGCCAAGAGTTACATTACTTACAGTTACAGTGCTGCTCAGAGAGCGCTGAAGGGAAACCGCTGTTGTGTGTTCACACCATCAGCTGCCTGTGCAACAGCATGTTCACACTTGTGGTACTTGCAGCTGTATTCAGAGCGGTGCACTCTGGGCAGCTATCCTACAGAGCATCTCTTCCTCTTCTGCTGCTAAGAGTTGTGGGAAGGTGGAGGGGGTTGCGGGGCATCTTGGGTCCTGTCCCAATGCCCTGTGATGCATTGCTTCACATCCCAGCAATCCCTGTGCTTCCATCCGCATTTGGCACCATCTTTCAACAGTTTGTGTACTGCGCGCCCTGCCTCTTCAGTCCGCAGGAATGGATCCCGCGCTGTTGACCAATATGCTGCTCACTCTCACTAACACGTCATGAGTGGCAGTGGAGTTCAATGTTGATCTTGCCATGCGTAGTAGCTATGACACGAGATTGCTTGTGGCTTTCACAGAGGTGCCTACCATAGTGGAACGCTGCTTTTGGGCTCAGGAAACAAGCACTGAGTGGTTGGATCACATCGTGATGCATGTCTGGGATGATGAGCAGTGGCTGCAGAACTTTTGGATGAGGAAAGCCACATTCATGGGACTGTGTGATGAGCTCGCCCCAGCCCTGCGGCACAAGTACATGAGAATGAGAGCTGCCCTGTCATTGGAGAAGCGTGTGGCGATTGCACGGGGGAAGCTGGCTACTCCGGGAAGCTGGCTATTCCAGACTGCTACCAATCGGTTGCTAACCAGTTCGGAGTGGGAAAGTCGACTGTTGGAGTCGTGTTGATGGAAATGTTCAGGCCCATTAATCACATCCTATGCCGAAAGACCATGATTCTGGGCAACGCGCATGACATTGTGGATGGCTGTGCACAAATGGGCTTCCCTAACTCCGGAGGGCACGTATATTCCAATTCTGGCATCAGACCGCCTAGCCACGAAGTACATTAATCAGAAGGGGTATTTCTCTATGGTTCTCCAGGTGCTTGTGGATCACCATGGGTGTTTCATGGACATTAACTCAAGCTGGTCCGGAAAGGTGCATGATGCATGCATCTTTCAGAACACTGGCCTGTTCAGGAAGCTGCAAGCAGGGACTTTCTTCCAAGCCCAGAAGATCACTTGTAGGGGAAGTCAAATTGCCCATTGTGATCCTGGGAGACTTGCCTACCCCTTAATTCTGTGACTTAGGAAGCCATACACAGGACATCTTGACAGCAGCAAGGAGTGGTTCAACAACAGGCTGAGCAAGTGCAGAATGACTGTCGAGTGTGCTTTTGGCCGTTTAAAAGCCTGCTGTCACTGACTATATGGGAGGCTGGCCCTGGCTGATTACAATATTCCTATGCTTATAGCCACGTGCTGTACGCTTCATAATATTTGTGAAGGGAAGGGTGAAAGCTTCACTCAGGGCTGGACCACTAAGGCTCAGTGCCTGGAGGCTGAATTTGAACAGCCGGAGATCAGGGCTATTAAAGGGGCGCAGCACAGGGCCATAAGGATCATGGATGCCTTGAGGCAGCAATTTGAAGCTGAAAGCTACTAATATTTATTGCTATGCTTGGGAGTGCAGTGTTTGTAAAGCTAGGAGGTGATTGTGATTGGTGCAGACGATGCAATATGAAGGTTTAAGAAAATTCCCTGTTGCTTAGCGGGGTTCTGTTTGCTTTCAATTAATGGAATAAAGATTGCTTTCAAACCAAAACAATTCTTCTATTAAAAAACAACAACCGGAGAAGACAGACAAACAAAAAACACATCAGCACTGTGGAGGATGGGGGAAGGGAGGTCCCAGGAGGAGGTGGGGTCCCAGGATGGTTAAAGATTTGTGTATGTCCAGGTATCATATGCAACCTTGTCCTTTGGAGAACAGTAGAGTGGGTACTGTACTTCAGCAGGGCTAAACTGCAGAGGGACGGGTGTTGAGTGCAGTGGGTACTGGGAGTCCGCAGGGCTGGACTGTGACAGGGCATGAGTGCAGCAAGTACAGACTGGAGCCAGGAGGTTGATAAGAGTGTGTTGGCAGTGTCTGGGGGGACATATGGGAAAGAGTTTTGTGACCGCGGCTGCAGGGAAGGGCGGGCGCGGAGCTGCTTGGTTTGTAGTGCTAGTAGCGCATGGAGTGTGTCCATAATTTATAGTGCTAGTAGCGCTTGGTGGTCCATCATTTTTAAGAGCTGCTCCATGGCTTTGTTCTGGTGCGCTTTGTTCTTATGGTCCCTCTTCTCGCTGTCCTGCCACTCCTTCAATTCCTGTTTTTCGGCTGCGGAGTGCATCATGACATCATGCAGAAAGTCCTCTTTAGTATTTTCTTCAGCAACTTGTAATGCTACTGAACCTTCTGTAGCCAAGAAGTGACCTAATGTATGCAGTATAATGGCAACAATTTACAGAAGTCAGTTACAAACTATTTTACCCAGCAAATACCAGAGAGATCATATAAATGCAACGAATATGTATTTCCATCATATTCTTGGGTGATTTCTACACTAAAGACCAGGATGGAGCATGGCAGAAGAACTTCACAGAGCATTCAGAAAATTGTTGCATGGAGTGAATGGTTGCTACTTGTTAGCATAGCCATGTAGCCTGGAAATGAAAGGGGCCATGTTGACTGAAGTCCTCTATTTTTCCATAGATCTGGTACAGCATTGGTTGGAATAGTACAAGCTCCCCTCTACCTTATTAATGTGACA